CAGTTCCAAAGTTCGAGGTTGGGTGGGGGAGGATTAATCCCTCTTTAACTCCTCTCTTTCCCGCCCTCAATTCTGAACCCCAACGGATACGTTTCCCTGGGTTTCCTGGTGAATAGGAGCATAGAAGCCGCCCTGTCCAATAAAGATTAAATTAAGTAGAAGAATCCCAGCCGCTGGATATTTGGAAGCTCCGGTGGGGCGTCAAACCGACGTTTAACACATTTTTTCCACTCACTGTGCACAAATCCTAGACCTGTTGGGCTTAACTTTAGAAAGAAAGGAAGGAAGAAAAAAATAAAGAAAAAAAGAAAAAGAAGCAAAGAAAGTCACGGAGAAATCCCAGTTTCAAGGGGAAGTGGCTTTATGTTCAGAGCAGTTGAAAGCAGAAGCAGGACTTTCTGACCTTTCCAGTCTTTTTTCTTTCTCAGAGACAGTCCAAAAGAGTTAGAGACTCCTTCCTCCTATCGAGAGCTCAGAAAATGTCGGTTTTGATTCTATGTTTAGCCCATAGAGACTAGTAGTAGCCCGGGGTCATGACTAGGTGTGTGGGCCACGGGCTCATTCAGAACACAGTTGCCTTTTCAGTGGTGATTTTTTTTTTTTTAAGTAAAAGGTGTTGGTAGCACAAACTGAACAGTTTTCTCCCGTTACTGCCCAGCTCTGTAGGCACTCAGCACTCTGGACACTGACCTTGAGGCTGAGGCTGGGTCCAATATCCTTTGCCAAGAGCCATCCCAGCCCCAAATAATGGCTGATCACTCCCACCTGCTCCTCTATTCCCTGGGTGCAGACCTGAGGGGCAAAAGGCAAGTCCCTTCGTGGCAAAAGCTTGTCCATGCAAATACAACACTGAATAAATTAACCTCAAACCAGCTAGTTGGGGTGTAGTAGTTTAGCAGGACTAATTGCAGACAATGGAGCTGAAATGACTTTTCCAATTAGCTGCTGGTTGGAGTTTAGTTGGAGGAACTGTCAGCTCCAACGATGGGTAATTGCTTTATTGCTCACAAAACTATCATCTATTTAGAACATATGTGCTAATTACTCTGGATGGGCATCGAAAAAGAGACCATAAATCTAATAGCACTTAAAAAAGTCTATGGTGCTTGTAAGCCACCCTGGTCCCTTACGCATTCTCTCCTGTCCAGGTTGGCATGATAGATGGCTGTCTTTCAGGAAGGCGAAGGTTTAGACTAGAGGCGCCGATGGGATCCTCTGGTCAAATCGCGTGCAGGAGAGCGAGCATCTTGTGCTGAGGCGATAAATCACTGTCATCAAAACCAGACCCCTCTTTAGCCGTGCACTTTCTTTTTATTTTCGCAAAAGATTACTTTAGAAATCTTTTAATTGGATTATGCTGGGAAATTAATCTCCTTTAGCCTTGGCTAAATTTATTGTGGCCACTGTTGGGAGGAAAGTCCTTTAACTGCAGTGAGGGCTATGTCTCCTTGTTCCCTCCTTTCCACAGCCCTCCAGGGTTTCCCCAGCTGCCTGCCACAGTAGAATCCCAAGTCCTGGAGAGTTACTGGAGTGAGAAGGGGTGGGGAGACACTCTGGGTGGAGGGCCACAGAGGTCTCTAATGAATCCCTTTTGTCCTAAACGTCACGTTTCTGTCTCAGACTCCCTAGCTCCATATCCAGCATCCACACAGCAACGAGGCTTTATCCACAAGGGGTTCTGGGAATCTGCTACCGGGGAAGGAGACTGGAGTGGCTGCAAGGAAAAGTGAGGTGTGTCCGGGGAGCGCTGCTAGCCCAAATCACTAGTTACCTCTCTTCCCTGCCCAGTTCCTTTCTGGGTCACCGGCAGGGAGCTGGAGCCTTGCGGACACTCTCTACTCTGCGCAAAAACGCACGGCTAGTTCTTGGTGATCTTGCAAAACTCTGGAGACACTTTTCCGTGACGTGCACAGCGCTAGAGGTTGTGGGGTTAGGGTCCTCCCCACCCTTCCTGGCTCCTCTAGCACCAGGTCATTATTGGGCGGCGGGCTCCCTTCCAACCTCGCTGTCCCAAGTCTTCAGCCGGGTCCCTCTCAGCTTCTGCCCGCAGACTCGGCAAACTCAGGGTCCGCCCCGCCGACCGCGCCTCTCAGTGGGAGATAACATCTGCCTGAAATGGGATACCCACTTTTGCAGCTCAATTTAGCTCTTAATAGCGGCCCTCTGAGGTGTGGTTAATTGATGGGGGATAAAGGCGTAATGACTTGACCCGGAGACGCCAATGATCCTTTAATATATTTTAAAAGAACAACTACCACCCCAAACACTGGCGAGTCATTACTGCATGGGGGTGGGGATGGGGGAGAAGGCAGGGATCAGGAGGCTAGGAAAGCGATGCAGGTGTTGTTTGTATCTGGGGGTGTCCGCGCAGGCTGAGCTTTGGCTCGTAGGGCCGTAGGGCCGGGCTACCCAGGAGCCCCCAGGGCGCGCAACTCCGACTGGCAGGGGGGTGTCGCGTGGCCGTGGGGGGCCGGGAGGCTGGGGGACTAGGCGACGCTTTGGCGCGTGGGGCCGTAGGGCCGGGCTACCCAGGAGCCGCCAGGGCGCGCAACTCCGACTGGCAGGGGGTTGTCGCGTGGCCGTGGGGAGCCGGGAGGCTGGGGAACTAGGCGAACTCGGGCTGACAGGTGAGCGACTGACGGGCAGGGCTGAGCCGGGAGCTGGGAGCCAGGAGTCGGGGAGGATGCCGCCCCTCCCTGGGCGCTGTCACTCTAACAGCCCTTTACTTGCGCTGGGCTGGATACCCACACTCCGGGCGCCTCCGCCTGTCCGCTCAACCCGGCTAGAGCGACCTTTCATCTAGCGTGAGCGAAATGGTCAAGTGGCCGTGCTTGTCGGGAACTCCAGGCGGGTGGGTTCCGCTCCCTGGACAACCTCAGGCTCCAGCGCCAGGACAAGGAGGCACGCTCCCGTGTGCATGTGTGCGCGCAAACCGCCCAGAAGCGGAGCCAGAGCGCAGCTGCCCCGAGCACGTGGCAGTATTTAAGCCAGGTCTGCCTAGCCCTCGAGCAGGGGGTATCGGGGTTTGCCTGGGCTGGAGCTGTGGCCAGCCACCGGATTAAAGCAGCCCCTCCACGCTGTCCACCCGGACCTCACCTCCGTGCTCTCTACTCGGCACTCTCTCTTTGCGGTGCCTGTTTTTCCCTTGCTCGGTTCTAGATGAGTCTCAAAGGGGTGCAAAGGAGTGTTTTATTCAAGTGCAGCACCAAACTTAGTTTCACAAGCACTAAACTGAAAAAAACATCGCTTTTTGTTTGCAAAGGAGGACCCCCTCCAAGGGTGGGCCATGGTGTCCCTAGCAGGTTTTGCCAGTCTCCTATTTTCACTTTGGAGAAGGATAACCTCGTTGCTTCAGGTTTGAGCTCCCTCTGGAAGCGGAAGGGGAAATGACTCCAACCACCGTCCACAGTTCACTGCATTGAGAAATCTCAGGTGTAGGCTGTAGCTATTGTCTGCCTTCCTCTCAGGGCCCACAGAACGGGGTTGAAAGAGTTTCCAGAAACTGTTTCCTCAAACCCTCTTGCGGAGGAGTACGCTGTCACAAGAGGGGGAGCCGCAGGGTCAAGGGTCTGAAGAAATAGAATTAAGAGTCCCAACCTGCGGAGTGTGCCTGTCTCGGTGTGGTTCTGTCCCTCCGCCGTCAATGTCTGACCTCATCTGTCCTTTGCAGATCTAGGAAATCTGGACGCACTGTCGCTTAGTCATCCAGCTGCTGACCCTTTCACAACCCCAGTCCTCGGGCGTCTCAGAGTCAGGGACAAGGCCCAGAGTCCTGCTCCAAACCCTGGCCAGCGACTCCCCCTTAGAAGCTCCCTGGCCAGGATAGAATCGATGACCTGGTGACAAGTGCTCTCTGATGAGACCGTGGAGGCTTTGCTGAAGGCCGGATGCTTTCGAGCTGTCAGGTTCCTGAGGTGCCTATGGGGGTCCCAGGTTCGCCTGAATCCACAGATCAGCTCAGTCCTGGGTGTCACACCCCCTGGGGACAACAACCCCAAGCCAAAGGCCCTTTTCTCATGTGTCTCCTCACATCCCTCCCCCCACAAGGACGCCCCCTTGCGAAGGGTTCTTCACTCTTTGAACCAGGTGCCTCTGTACGGTCCCTGCCACCCTTGGTGCCAGGTGTCTGGAACTTAGACTCCAACCGCGACGAGGGCAGCATCTCCGGGAAGCGAAGCCCACATCCGGGCACGGAGCCTCATGTGCAGGTGGACACCCGGCGCTTGACGCTAGTGATGCGCCCCTTGTGGAGGCTGAGCGCCAGGGGCGGGATCGAGGCTTAGGAAGGGGCCAAGCGGTAGGAACTGTAGCCGGTGTTGTAGGTCCCACCGCAGGAGTCACCGAGTCACCGGAGTGACAGAGCCTCCCTCGAGCACGCGCAAGGGGATTCAAGAAGGAAGCCAGGCCCTATGGGAGATGGCGCGCACTCCCCGAACCCCGGCGGAGGTCAGGCTGTCGCAGGCTGTTTGCCTTCGCTTGGTCTGCGCTGCAACCCTATTATCAACAGACGCAGAGGGGTGTGAGCCGGCCCCGCCCAAGCTTGAGAGGTTCGGGCTTCCACTGTCCAACCAAGCCGCTTTTGCAAGCCTTCCCATTGACACCTCTTTCCCGCCGGCCAGAGCGCTGGGCCTTGCAGCTTTCCGGGGCAGCCTAACAGCTTTGACCTGTCTCGGGCCACCAGTCCCTTAGGGTGTCAGACTGGGAGGTGAAGGAAGCCAGGGAGGCTGGGTTAGGGTTGGAGAACCCCAAACCCGATTTTGGATTTTATCGAGTAGTTTGGGATTAAGAAGCTGGAAAGTCAGCGTTAACTTAGCGGCCTTCAGTATTTTTGAAAACATCCGTCTACAAGGCGGGGATACCACTGAGGCACTGCTGTGTAGTTCCAAAAGATCTTGGGAGACCCTATCTTCAGAGTTTTTCCAGAGGTGGTTTTATCATCTAACTGGAGAGTAGATGTGTATCACGCCAACAGTGCACTGAATAGTCTCTTCCTTCAGACAGGGCTTGAGAAACGGAAATACCAGCGCCCTCCAGCCAACCGTGTGAGGACTGATTGCTGGGGAGCTGGCCCTCCAGATGCTGCACTGGAGGCGCTGCAAGCGTGAGCAGGTAACGTGGAGAAGAGTGACATTGTTAACAGAAAGCGTCTAATTAACAATGACTTCATTTGATTGGAAGGATGAAAAAGCCTTTTTAAATCAATCCAGATTCACTAGCCTAAGCTCAGCCAATTTATGAATATGGAGCCCGACTGGGGTCTGCTTTCTTTCAAAGATGTCATCTTAGAGGTAATAGCATAGGTGAAGTCATTTGGTTACACTGTGGAAACTTTTATAGTGCCTTCCTTGGGAATTTAATTCAGTGCTTCTTCATTTTATTAGGAACAGACTGACTCCATCAACTCTGCTCTCCCTGTTTAGAGGCAGGACTGCTTGAAGCAATTAGGTTCACCAATTAGCATAGTTTTACTGACCCCAGCAGCAGCACCTCTGCTTAGATTCTCCATGTCTTCAAAGTCAGGGAAAAAGCCAGAGCTCAACATGCTTCCCAGGTGTCCAGGTTGGGGAAAGAAGCCCACAAGCAGGGTAGCACAGCAGGACAAAAAGCTTCCTAATAGCCCCCAAGTGTGGGTTTCAGCAACTATGGTGGGGTGGTTTTTTTTTCTTTTTCTTTTTCTTTTTTTTCCCTTTTTCTGATTCTGGATTCTATAATACCTCCTAACTTTGACAGAGCCTTACAAAACCTCTCTCTCCTTTGGTTGTGTTTTGGCAGATCTGCTTTTAGGAAAGTGAATTGTCTCCTTATTCTCTGTCCTCCTGTATGCTAATTACACTGTAGAAAATGTTAGGGTCTAAAGACAGGAAATCACTGACAGGTTCCTTGAAACCCTGTGAGGTGACAAGATAAGGACTGTGTGTGTGTGTGTGTGTGTGTGTGTGTGTGTGTGTGTGTGTGTACATGACAAAACCGAGCAGGAGAGGCCAGAAAGTGGATGGGGGATATAAGTAATTGTGGTTTTTTTTTTTTCCCCCCTAATTTTGAAGATGTCCCTGCAAGACTCTGCTGCAACCTTTTCACTGTATTCTCAGTCTTACTAAAGATGGACAATATCTTTAGTAAAAGAGCATGTCTAGAGCTCAAAGCAGTCTGGGAAAGAAGGAGTTTTGCTTTTGTCGCTGTCACCGATCATGAAGGGATTTAATTTGCATGGCTTTTGTCCCTCTCTCCCCCTCCTAAAATATATATTTCTCTGTAAGATTTCACTAGATTAAAAAGCTGACAGTTCATCAGTAGCAGCAACAACGTAATTCCCCTAACCTTATTAAATCAATAAATACTAGATCCATGCATTGAATTAAAAATGCATCAGCATGGCCAGGAATTGGGATCATATGGCCATGGACCTGAGAATCGAAGATGTCACTCAAAAATGGATGAGTTAGCATTTATTTCATCTCTTTTTGCCATTTTGGGTCTGTGGTTAGATATTCTGGGAGTTGAACATTTTAGGGATCATTGTGGTAGGTTTTTATTTTTGCTTATTTCTTGAAAATTCTTTTCAGTGATAATTTACAAAAATTCTTTTACTTCACACTTAACCATGAAAATGATCTATGCATTTAACAATAGTGATTCACTGTGGCTTTATATTTCTCACCATTAATTCGCATCTACGGAATAGACTGCCACTTAGAATACATTTCTCTAGTAAACCATACGCAAGAGTATACATTTCTATGAATTTCTACATAAGCATATATAAGTCTGGCTGCATATGCTTTTGTATAAGTGTAACTATAATCAGTGTGAATGTATTGTCATCCATTGATCATAAGTTTATTGTAAAAAAAAATTAAATGTGGCTTCTATCTTTCAACACTGTCAACTATAAGCCAAAGAATTACCTATCATTTTGAAGTAGTTTACTTCTATTCTGATTTGCTTATTGTAATTTACGTCACAAAAGGCAAAATGAAAATGTTCATGTCTTTAAATTAAACACAGCACTTAAAAAGTTATATATATATATCTTAAGTAGTTATATTTTAAGTATGGAGAAAGAAATACCTCAAATGTGATTTACCAGGAATTGGTCAGTGGAGTTGTAGATTAACAGGTAAATTTTCTATTAGTCCCTACTGAAAACAGGGACTGTGTCGAACACTTAGAAGTTGAATGGAAAAAGTAATATTACTTTAACCAGAAATCTGTCCATATGGATTGACGATGCTAATTATTTAAAAACATTCATTCCCTATTGATGTCAGCCAGCATACATTACTGAATTCTGAAGATACAGTCATTGGCCCTTGGGTTCACCACACTGTGGAAGAAAAATCTTTATTTGACGAAATAGGCAATCAACTGAAATCTATCCTCTTTAAATAAACTGATTCCTCAGTATTTTCCCAGTGTTGGTATAAGTTGTTGTCTGCGATGTCCCCCAGGGCTCTTTCCTCTGCTCCCTGATTTGGTATATAAAAGCAGCTCTGAATGATGGATTACTGTGTCATTGCAGCCTGCGAAGGATTAATTTGTTTCATTGATTTCTCTTTAGGCAGATTGCCAGAATTTGCTGCTTCCCACCTTTCCTTAAGACTTCTAGAAGTAATAGACAGTAATAGCCTAAGACAAATCAGCTCCTTCTCATAAATATAGAATCAGGAAACTAAGAGTCTGAGGAAAACGGTGTCAAAGTTTCTTTATTGGCATACAGGGGAGAGCAATTAATAGGCTGCTTTGTTTGTTTTAGGAATAGTTTAAATTGAGGGGTTGGCAGGTGGCATGGTAGTTAAGGGTGCTGGACTCTCATATGGCAGATCACAGTTTGAGTCCCGAACCTATAGGCTTGCTTTCTCACTTTCCCTCTCTCTCTCACTCATTCTGTTCTTTTCTGGTCGAATTAAATAAATAAGTAAAGTTAAATAATTCTTTTTAAAGAAAGAAATATTTTGGGGGCTGGCAGGTGGCATGATGGTTGAGGGCACTGGACTCCCACATGACTGACCATGGTTTGAGTCCTGGACCTGGCATCTGGCTTTCTCACTTTCCCTCTCCTTCTCTCTCTCACTCCATTCCTCTCTGGTTAAATTAAAATAAATAAGTAAATATGGGACCGACAGTTAGTGTAATGGCTGTGTCGTTGGACTCTCATGTAGTTGACCGCAGTTGGAGTCCCAGACCTGGTGGCTTAAACTCACTTTGGGCATGTGTGTGTGCGTGTGCGTCCAAGATCCCAAGAGGAGAATGGAGAAGGGATTGAGGTGTGGCCATCCCCCCTGGGGGGTGATTTCTGTCGACTACATGGGAGTCCAGCAACATAGCCATTATGCCAACTGCTGGTCCCCCAAAAGAAATATTTTAAATTAAACAATTTCTTTGAATTGGTGACTTACAGCATATTATAGTAATAATAGGTCTTAAATGTTTATAATGTTTGATTCATAAGAATTTTCCTTGGGACCAGCAGTTAGCGTAATGGCTATGTCGCTGGACTCCCACGTAGTCGGCCGCAGTTCACGTCCCGGACCCGGTGGCTTAAAACTCATGCCGGGCACGTGTGCGTGCGTACCCAAGATCCCAAGAGGAGAATGGAGGAGAGGAGATTGCAGTGTGGCCATCCCCCCTGGGGGTGACTTCTTGCTTTCTGTCTCTTTGTCTCTCTCTGTCTGGTGAGCGCACGTGCCCTATAGCAAAAGCCTCTCAAAAAAACAAAACCAAAAAACCAAAAAACAAAAAACAAAGAATTTTCCTTAACTTGTAAGGTTCTTGTTTAACTCAGGTAGGAAGGAGAATGTGTTGTGTATGTGATGGACAAATTCTTGTATTTCTGTGCCAGATTTTGAGATCAAATAACAAGTAAACATAACTTTAGATCAACTTACTTCTAAGTATTTATAGTATTTTTTGACCAAAATAATTTTTTGGAAACTTTGGGCAGAACTGAGAGTGTCGTAAACAGAGAATTGTTTAAGGAAAAAAGTAACTTTTTCTGATAAAAATAGTATCTGCTTATGAGAGAATTTTCAAAAATTAGAAATGACATTTTGTATATTTTTAAAACCTTTCCTCCAAGTATTTCTTAAAATCATTTATATTTACTGTATAATTTTAAAAAAAGAATTATATTATTTAACTTTATTTATTTATTTTAATTTTGACCAGAGAGGAATAGAGAGAGAGAAAGAGAAAGCAAATCACCAGGTCTGGGACTTGAACCTTGGTTGGCTGTGTGGGAATCCAGTGCCTTAATCACCATGTCACCTGTTGGTCCTGACTACATAATTAAAAAAAATTTATTTATTTATTTAATTCCATTTATTATTATTATTATTTTTTAATTTGGACAGAGAAAGACAGAGAGAGAGAGAGAAACAGAAAGGGAGAAAGAAAGCTGCCAGGTCCAGGACTCAAACCATGGTCAGCCATATGGGAATCCAGCACCTTTAACCACCATACCACCTGCTGGCCCCAACTATATAATTTTTTAAAAAAGAATTATTTATTTAATTGTATTTATTCATTCATTTCATTTTATTAGAGAGATACACAGGGAGAAAGAGAGAGAAAGAGAGAGAAAGTGAGAAAGCAAGCCACTGGAACTCAAACCATGGTTGGCCATGTGGGAGTGTCCAGTGCCTTAACCACCACGCCACCTGCTGGTCCCATAATGTTTTAATAATATACTTTAAATAAGCATACTCTGCTATGGGAGAAAGATTTCTAATTTCTTATTAGTACAAATAAGGTGGTGGTGAGTAGTATTTTAAATAAATCTTTCATAATCTCTATGAGTACTTCCTTATAGCATATTACTAGAAAATAAATTATTTGTAGAAGGTGTAGACTATTTTTGATATTCTTGATATTGATTGCCAAGTTGTTTTCTAGAGAAGGGCTACCAATTATTTACACTGTTATTTTAAAACTCTTCCTCTGTAGAGGCAGCTAGTTCATGTTGTGTGAGCACAGAAGAACAACACTACGTTCAGAACACTATGTTCCTTGCATTCTGAAAGCAACGGTAGCATTTTGCATAGACTTCATCTCTCAGAAGTATTCTCCCAACTGCAGATGTGAAATAGGCTGGTTATACAAATCTATTTGTT